GGCCCCCCCTCAGAACTCGAGAACGGTATATCGTAGGACCACCAAATTTTCAGAGGATGGTGTACTAGTAAAAATTTATCATACGTACAATTTTTATGTCGTTGTGACGTAATATGACGTCATTATGACGTCATTAATGTGATTTTATTGGCCAAAACCGTCTAGATAGGTTATTCCCTGAAAACTAAACAGTATACGACATAACTTTACCAAAAGTGTTTATGACAGAATATTAGGATGTACTAAGTCTTATGTTGCCCATAGCAACACCGGTGACGTCATAAAATGACGTCATGCATATATTATATATCCGCCATCTTGGATCATCAATCTTGAATTTTGAAAAATAGTTTTTTTTCAGGATGAAGCCTAAAATACATTGTAAACAGACTAAAGACATTCATATGAACCTTTTTTGTAAAAAAAATGGGAGTATTGATGAAATTTTAAGGAAAATAAGCTGCATTTACCTGATCTAATGATATGGTCCGCCATCTTGGATTTTGGCCAATGACGTCATCAAATTAGCATAAATTATGCATTTTTAATGATAAAATTTACATATAATTATATGTGATGTTATTAATGTTAGAAACAATTTGTAACTTGACATAAAACCCATAAAATTCTGTTGTTTAAATGGAAATAATTAAATTTGGCAAAAAATGCCTGTCAGAAACCCGTTGCCATGGCAACAAGAAAAATCATAATCTTATTTCACTGATACAGATTTGTTGCCAACAATATTTTAGGAAAAGTCACCGAGTTTGGCAGTTCTAGCTTCAGCCGTTCAGACGCTAGGTGACATCAAAGTTGCCGCGGGCAGTTTAAGCCCCCCCCCCGGTCTAGATAGGGTTAAAACAGTACCAGTTCCTCATTATTGTGAATATTCCATAGTGGAAATTTTTTTTGTCTAGTTATTTGCAAAATTTTGTCACAAGATAAAGATTATACGCCAAATATGTGCAATTTCAATCAGGCATGCTCGTACAATACTTGTCTTTAAAGGGCAACAATAGAACATAACAATTAGAATTAAATGTTCAACATTTCAAGGACTAGAATGGCATTTTGCATTTGGTTATTCTGGTATACTTAAAAATTCAACAACAGTATGAAATACGATGAATTGCAGTTAACTGTGCTATCTTTATACTATTCGCTAGTCAAAAATTATAACACATCATGTCCTGATTTCATGTGCAAGACTGAAAACTTACTGCTACTTCCATCTGTTGGACCAGGCTTAGGAAGGCAGTTGAAGTTGGGTCCAGTAGTGGTGCAGTAAAGATGCCGATGTAAGCAATGGTGGCATGGATGGTTGAAAATCCTGTAAAATACAAAATATCTCCATGAATCATATTAAACTTATTTATCCTTCCAAACACTGTGTGCCAAATTCCTCAAAATCATGGTTGGGAGAAGGTCGGGAGCAAGGTCAGCTGTGGTTGGTGTTTGGCAAGCATATAGAATACAACACGGTGTATTCCGTGTCGCCTGAGGCCTGCGGCCGTCGGGCGATCCGTCACCCGCGGTCGGGCCGGGACCGAGGGCGATGCGGAATACACCGTGTTGTATTTTATTTATGTCATAACCACCCAAGAAAACGCGCATTTCAATGCAAGATGAGCCAAAAGTTGGTGCCACTAAACCCTAAAATGCAACATCAATTCTAACGTCCGGATTCTGTATTCGAATTTTCGAAAGCGGCGCACGCGTGCGCACGCAGTTTAATAGGGCAAAACGCGTTCGAATCGTTCTATAGAAGCCCGGGAAAGTACGGCCCGGTCCGGAACTCGTTATCGAACGTTATCGCGGCCCGGGTATGATACAACTACATGTATGGCTGTGTCAACCACGTTTCAAAAATGTTTGAAACATCCGGGATTGGATCAGGTAGGTTGGGCCATGGGTGGGGACTGGTTGCATGGCTGGGAGAAGGTAGGTTCTGAATGTGTGGCTCTTGAGGCTTCTGATTGAAGAACTTGATCTGGACATCAATGTCATCAATCTGTACAATGTCATATATTATGTTATTTGATTTTCATCAAAATTATCATACACAACACTGATCACCACTGTCTTCGTTTACAGATGTTTAGTTTTCTTCTTCCACACAGCCATTACATCTAACAGCAAAGGAAGTTGCATATTTTGCAGTACAATGCTTAGTAATTGAGACCGATTTTTATTTCATTTTAAATATCATTGGTTTAGCATGCAAGGCACCAGGGCAGCCAACTAGACTTTGGCTATTACAAGGAGGTTAGCAATGATGACAAAGACTATCAAACATCACAACAATGGAATTGGGCATGGACGGCATAACTGTTACTATCTGTAACATTATTTGAGTCAATTGAGATCCTGGATGTACTAGGTACCTTCTGTTGCAGTTTGAATTCCAGCAGCATTAACTGTGAATGATCCTAGACTTGCAGACTGCAGGTCAGTCTGGATGGTGGAAATCACCACACTTTGAGCATAGACTGCTGTGACCAGACGCAGTACCACTATCACTCCGCTGTTCCTAGTTGTACAATGTGTAGAATTGATACGACAACATTATGTCATGATTTGGGAGGGAAAGTGTACATACTGTATCACCTAGAGTACGCATGTTCGCAGAATGTACTGCGCCTGTGCGAAACCCTGATTTTTCATGGCTTTCATTGGATGTTTAGTCACTGTAACAGTTGCATTAGAATTTTGCCTGTTGCATAGGATACCTTTTCCAACATACATGTAACATGTGGAAACTACAGAAGGAATGTTAACCTTATACGCAAATGCGACCATATATGAGGCATTCTGACGAAGTGCTGTGCACAATACATTACAGGTTTCGCACAGGTGAAGTGTGTTCTGACGACATGCTCCTAGAGTTTAAATTACATTCTTTACTTATAAAACTATGCCCAAAGGCTAATTGCATCTACAGTGTCATACAAAGTAAAGTAATACAGAACATAAGAATTACTGTGACAGTCTGATCAACTTTTTTCACTTAGAGTTTTAACCCTTGTCCTGCTGGCAATTTTTACATAATATTTTCAAATAATTTCAGGTCTTAATCAGGTCACAGACCCTTGACTTTTTTTGGCCCGCGGTGGCGTAGTTACTTCCGCATTCGTTGCATTTCGCTGCGGTGTGATGCGTTGCACGAGAAACACCCCCAAATCGTACATATACAGGGCACTATATAGATGGTACTGTATGTGCAACCCATATATATATGGGCTCCGCAGGACTTAACATATTCCTGAGTAATCAGCAAACATCTTTGTTTTAACATATTCCTGAGTAGTCAGCAAACATCTTTCTATATGATTGAGTCTGCTCTGTACATTATAAGCTAGTGACAAATGCTGTTATTTTTTTCATACACATGTAACATTATTTATCATTTTTTTGCAGTTTGAATATTTACTTTGATACAATCTAATACAGTCATAATCAGGAATACCCTATAGGTCACTGTCTTGTGAACAGTAATCTTGATAAAAAGATATTCTCAAAAGGGTAGACATAATTGGACAACAGTATGTAGAAATATAATAAAAAGTGCCAGATTGTATCAAATAATTCCAGTAAACCAGCTAATAAATGGACAGTTGGCAGTCAATGAACAGAACAAATATTTTTAACAAAACACTTACGAAGGTCTGATGGCCACAATTTGGTAGCTCTGGAACCCAGACACACTCTGCAATGTTGTTGTTGCCTATAAAATCAAAACGTCATGATGATTATTTTAATAGAAAATATAGAAAAGTCTTAAATTCTTGTGGACATTATGGTACTTAGACATACTACGACGACGACTACTAGTAGGTACTTAGACTTCGACTACGACTTAGACAATTTCAAAGAACTTATAATAGAAAAAAATGTATATGTAACAAAGGGATTTGAGCTGTTTGAATTAGGAAATATATATACCCACTGGTATGAAATTCTCAAATACATCAAACTCACCCAGCCTGCAATGACAGCACTGAAGGAGGTATATTCCACTGACAGGGGGTTGAGCAGTTCTCCAGTGAACGTCTGGCTGGTGATGGGGATTTGGACAAAGACCTCAACTCCAGCTGAAACAGAATGATGAAGTTTGATTTCTAACAAGTCATACATACGATATCTTCTTAGATGGGATGTAAAGTCGGAGGTCCCGTGTTTGAGATAGCCATGCCTCAAGCATGTGAAAGAATCCACCGTACTAGTCGAAAAGTGTATGGGTCCTTCACAGTGTGACTGGTTCAAACCTTACAGTTCACAAACACATCACAATCCAGATAGTGTTGTTGCATTCACTTTCCTATCTAGCAGTCGAGGTTCTGGTTGGTATCATCTAAGATGGGGTATACTATCAGGTGAAACCCTACTTTATCATGAATGTATTGAAAAGGGTCAAATATCTGTTTTACGTCATTGGGTTATGGTAGCAAGAATTAAAATAATACGTCTGTAGTTTTGCCATTAGAATCAGTTGTGTGGAAATATTGTGCTTTGTATTTCCTCCATCATATTCCGTGTGAAGTCTAATATGTTAGTCTGGATATAAAAGTCGTACTTACTTTGGCAGACCTGGTCTGGAAGGGTATTTCCGATGCTCTGCAATCCACTAAAGTCTGTGACGTTAAAGACCTTATCGGCTGAGCTGGCAATGTCCCGCAGCTCCTGGTAGTCTACCTCTCCTCCAATCCCGACAGCGTACAAGACGATACCCTCTTTCCCAGCATTCAGTGCAGGTCGCACAACATCGTCAGCGGACTGGCCATCGGTGACAACAATCGCCATCTTGCTGACTCCTGCACGGGCACCGTTCTTGGTCGAGAAGGCGTTGTTTGCGAGATACCGTAAGGCTTGTCCCGTGTTCGTGCCACCCTGAAGGTAGCGGATATCAGAGATGGCCTGTTGGAGAGACGCTGCGTCTTGATGGTCATTCAGGAGGATCTCAGAATGGGGCTGGGTATTGTACTGAATGACACCGAACTGGGTCTCTGTAAGGCCAATGTTGAAGCGGGCCACAGTCTGTAGGAGGAAACATAGTTTAGTCCAATGAAATGTAACATATCAAAAAGTTTCTAGTCAGTCTACCTTTAAAAAGGCCATCCACTATCTATTCAATCACTGTTAACTTAGTCTACAATTTGTTTGTGTATTAGGCCACAGCAAGTAATTTTTATGGATGACATCAGCGCGCGAATTGATTTTTGCCTGATTTTCGACAAAAAACAAGAAATTTTGTTGCCCTTTGACAGTCGTCAACATGCCGACAATGGGCAAAATGGCATGCCTTGCCATGCTGGAACGTGTATGGCACACAAATATGAAGAGAGGAGACAAGACAAGGCCCTGATTTATTGTTTTGACCTTTACTTTGATGCAGTGATGTATTTCATTCCTTTTATATGTTCCTACTGAATCAAAACCATTTGTAAAATGATTGAAAACTTTCCTTTTTTTCCAAGGTGTTTTCAGTGACAAATGGATTTTGTGATAGTTGGCAGTAAAGGCAGCACAATATAGGTATCATTTCTCGTTTAACAGGGTTTATGATGTCAAGATTTCAAAATATAGGAATCTTGTTTTTTTGGTCCCGCCTTGTTTTTTTTCGCCCTCTCACATTAGTTTTGAAGTCTGCAGAGGATGCCATCCATAAAATGTACTTACTGTGGCCTTATTGTTATTTCGTTGTATGTTTTATTTTGTGTTATCTGTACCATGTAAGACAAGCCATCAGGCTAAAGGGTATCTCAATACAGACAAGAGACAAGACAAGTGTTGAAGAAGAAATTGGTGGTAACATACCCAAAGATCAGTTATAAACATTCTATAAATATAATTCCACCAGGTCACATATATTTGCTAACCTAAAACTGCTTTTAAAGTCGAATAAACCTGATCTCCTCCAGTGCAATGACCCCCAGTACAATGTACTCCTGAACATAAACAGTGCATTATGTATGTAACTTGGGTTGTTGTATTTTAAAGTGTCAGATATGCAGTGTATGTAACATTGTGAATAAATGGTAATGGCGGTTACGAATGTGTTATCTTGGACTGCTTGGTATTAACATAGGAATGTCAAATTACAATTTTTATCAAATTACAATTTCAACCCTTACTCCTTAAATAAAGAGGTTTGATTGCAACCAAGCAGACAGAAAATTTTCCTGTACTTTTTTTAAAGAAGGGAAGGCAACAATGCAATATAAATGTTTGACTGCACTTACAGCTTGGCAATTTTCGTCATAAATTGCATTTATGAGGAGCATGTTTACTTAGTATGGTAACATAGACCGCCTTCGTACTTGGAATAACTTTTTGGTACTCTGTTATTGCATCTGAATTTTGATATTATCGTACGGATCATCTTGATATTGTGAAGATAGCAAACACGTGGTGTTCAGCTCAGACATATTTAGTTAGCTTGTAAAACGTCAGGCTAATAACACAGGCCACCTCCTTACTTTTAATGACTTATCTCTTACCTATGTTAATGTATCTGAATTGTAACTGACATTGTTAATTGTTTATTGTCCAGTTATGAGAGCTAGTCCTTAATAAAATTATAGCCTCCGGCCAGTTGGACAGTCCTAGCTGTATATCTGGCTATACAGATTAATAAATCAAATCAAACCCTATTTTTTTTACCTTGCTAACGAAGGTTTTTATCTTCTCAAAGTTGTCACTTCCGACACTGCCAGATCCATCCAGCACAAAGATGATATCCAGCTCATTTGGACAGGGAGGCTCTGGAAACAGGAAAGGCTCACAAACTGTAAAGCTTTGTTTTCTTTGAGTGACAACAAAGCACACCTTAGAATCACTCAGTAACTTGCTGTAGTACAGATTTCAATTTTTTTCTCTCAGCACTACAGTAACTAATATCACCTAAAGCATAGTGCATATAATGTAATGGCTGTATTTTATAACTTGATTTACCATACAGGATTATTTGGGATGAATTAAAACAGATTGTTACTCGTTTATCATGCGGTGCATGATTACAATGAGATTCAATATCTGAAGATTAGTAGACAAAGAAGTCATGCAATCACCATTGACTATTGGAATCATCAACACACAACGTCATGTTTTAAGTTTTGTTAAAGGGGCATGAGGTAAGATTTTTGCACCCAAAATTGAAATCCTTTGTTTTAAAGAATATCCCTGCGATTGCAATTTGCTTTCCTTTGCAACATATTTGTGCAGTTATCTCACATTTGTGACATTTTTCGTTGTCACTAAAACAGTCTGCGCGCGCGAGTCACTGTCAGTTTGTGGTGCCAAACTACCAGAATGTAAACACAAATACAACAGCTGTGTTTCAACCTTTCAACACAGATTCGTAAGGAGTCATACTTTGGCACGTCCACTTCCCGAATTACACGTATTTGACATGGAGTAGGGTTGATTCAACTTACTTTGTAAAGAAATGACCAGAACATTTACTTTTTGTATTGCCTAATTGTTACATAATGCACCTTTATTAAAAGTTGATTATAATGATATTGTTGTATACTGTACCTGTTATCGCGATAGAACCAGAGACAACAGTCAAAGTTCCATATGAGCCAGATTGGATGGCAGTATCAAAGTTTTGGATGAAGGTAGTTTGAACTGATGTCTTCACCACGATGAGCAGTACGACATAGGTGGTGGTGGCAGTGGAACTGTAAGGAAAGAGGGACAAATATCAAAACAACAGGGTAGCAGACAGTGAGTGTTGTTTGTTGCCATGCTTCCATCTGTCTCACTAATTCTAAGATCGATAAACCTACGCGTAAAACATTCGCTCGCGCATTTTCATGGTATGTTTTACCCGTTTGATAGATAAATGAAAGATTCCAGACTCTACTCCATCTGGAAATGTTGGTAACGATTCAGGCTTAGAATGATACATGTACTTACCCTGCGCTGAATTGAATTATGCTGACAGACAATGCTCCTTGAATTGTGTTGAATGTCTGAAATCGTAATTGTGGGAAAAGATGTTTAATCACCAAAGGATACGGAATATCACTGCATGGAGTTAAAACTACCAATAATTTCTTTATTTAGCTTTTCCATTACAAAAATGGAGTGGAAGACAAAACAGGTGATTGCACACCTCTTCACGTTGTCTCCCCCGCAAACATACAAATGACATACACGAATAATATTAGAATGTACATTACGATGTACAATTTGTAACGATTAAAATGCAGTACTGTGCTACTTTAATAAAAGGTAAGACACTGGCTGCTTCTCTCCTAAATGTGAGATCTTACATTGATTTGTAGGCTGGTACTAAGTGTCTGGAAGTCAGCACTTGATGGATTCATGAGTTCACCACTGAACGCTTGCTGGATCTCCATCGATACATACAAATTCACAGCATCTGGGAATACAAAGCACAGAAAGTGTCAATATGTGCCAAAATTCTTTTTTCTCAATTGCCACTACTACGAGTATAATGTGTGCATGAGCGTCACGGCTCCGTAGGTTTGAACTTATGCTTGCTACTTAGAAGTCATGGAAACTGTCAATGCCCTTACCCAATGGTGCAACCTCGGTTGCTGCTGGGTCAATAGTCAAGGGTCCAAAAGAGGCTGTCAGTGAGACAATGGACTGAGTCACGGAGTCTGATGCCCAAAGACCAGCCGACGCCTGGCAGTAAACAACAACTCCAGTATCCCTGTAAGCACAAGTCAATGTCACATTAACGTTGCAAGTACATGAGTTTTCTTTTGATTTACCTCCACGATCATGTTGCAGAAATACAAAGAACTAGAAATAAATGGGAATGATATCTTACTTAAACTTTTAAGACTTAAAGACTATTGCATACAGGAAGTTAAGACAACAAGCCATACATATCATTCAATAAATCTTGAGTCAAATACTAACACAGGTACAAAGTTGATGACTTGGATGACATTCAGTCCTGCAATCTGGCCCAAAGTTTGAGTCACCTGCACACACACAGAAAATAACATTTTCCGTTACACAAATGGTAAGATATATTGTTGTGTTAGCATCAGGGCTGTACAAAGGGCCATCTATACACTCAGTCATAAAGTTTTAACTGCATAAAGAATGGTACTGCATATTACACAATGATGATGATTATACTAAGGATCAGTAAATCCATTAAAAAGGTAAGGTGACAATCGAAGTATCATCATGGGATAAAGCAAAAGATCAGAAATTACAATGGTGTGGCCTTTCACATTTAACAAATGTCTTCCACGACAGAAAAAAGATATCAAAGACACTACCAGCTGACGTAAGGCAGTATGAGCATTACAAGGCGGCCTTGGGGTGCATACCTCATGAATTGTAACTGACTTCTGACTTTAAATATTGTCTCCACACAACTGATTGTGAAGGTAAGTACCATGTTGCATTTATTGACCGAATAATTCCGTGGTTATATCATATGCATGGGTCAACATGTATTTGATGAATTAGAAGGCTACAAGGATAACAAATTTCGTAATGGACATTACATTGCGATGATATACGGGTGGGCATTTTCTAATGTAAGAACACTTAAAGATATTCTCCACATTTTCCACGTCTTTTAAAGAAATACTTTCAAGTGGCCATCGTATCATACTTGTGTCCACCGCTACATACCGTCATCGTTCATTGTCATTGTCATTAATGTCCCTTTTAGAGACAAAAAATGCTCTTTTTGGCTCATTTTGGGCAAATTATGCTTTATGGAAAAATCAAGTGTGGAGCTAACGTCAGTGGATAGTTCCGCATCCTGAAAAGTTAGTTCCTTGAAAATCCATCAAAGTTTAGCGATATAGGATTTTTAAAGCAAAAATTGCTCATTTGGGTAAATTATGCTTTATAGAAAATTAAGTGTGGGGCTAGATGTCAGTGGATGTCAGTGGATCGTCCCGCATCCAAAAAAGTTGGTTCCTCGAAAACCGGTCGACCTTTAGCAATATCGCATTTTTAGGTAAAAATACTCGTTTTGGGCTCATTCGGGCAAATTATCATTTATAGGAAAATCAAGTGTGGAGCTGATGTCGAAGGATCGTCCTGCATTCAAAAAAAGTTGGTTTCTCGAAAATCTGTCGACGTTTCAATGTTTCTCATTTTTTAGGCAAAAAAACCCCTCTTTTGGGCTCATTTGGCCAAATTATACTTTTTGGAGAAATCAGGTGTAGAGCTAATGTCTTTGGATGGTTCCGAATCCAAAAAAGGTGATTTCGTAAAAATCGGTCGACGTTATGTGATACAGCATTTTTTAGGCGAAAATGCTCTTTTGGGCTCATTTGGGTAAGTTATGCTACATGAAATAATAAAGTGTGGGGCTTATGTCTGTGGATCGTCCCGCATCCAAAAAAGTTGGTTTCCTGAAATTGGTCGACGTTTCGCGATATCGCATTTTAGGCCAAATGCTCTTTGGGGTCATACGCACAAATTATACTTTTAGAAAATTAAGTGTATGGCTGATGTCTGTGGATCGTTCCGCATCCAAAAAGTTAGTTTGGTGAAAATTGGTCGACGTTTCGCGATATCGCATTTTTTTAGGCCAAAATGCTCTTTTGGGGTCATTCGCACAAATTATACTTTTTAGAAAAATTAAGTGTATGGCTTATGTCTGTGGATCGTTCCGCATCCAAAAAAGTTGGTTTCCTGAAAATTGGTCGACGTTTCGCGATATCGCATTTTTTAGGCCAAAATGCTCTTTTGGGGTCATTCGAACAAATTATACTTTTTAGAAAAATGAAGTGTATGGCTGATGTCTGTGGATCGTTCCGCATCCAAAAAAGTTGGTTTGGTGAAAATCGGTCGACGTTTCGCGATATCGCATTTTTTAGGCCAAAATGCTCTTTTGGGGTCATTCGCACAAATTATACTTTTTAGAAAATTAAGTGTATGGCTTATGTCTGTGGATCGTCCCGCATCCAAAAAGTTGGTTTCCTGAAAATTGGTCGACGTTTCGCGATATCGCATTTTTTAGGCCAAAATGCTCTTTTGGGGTCATTCGCACAAATTATACTTTTTAGAAAAACTAAGTGTATGGCTTATGTCTGTGGATCGTTCCGCATCCATAAAAGTTAGTTTGGTGAAAATCGATCGACGTTTTGCGATATCTTATTTTTTAGGCCACACCAATTTAATTTGTTGGTTCTCGGATTCGCCTCTTCGTTTTTTTCTGATTTGCAAAAAAAAATTAGATTATGGTCCTGAATCAACTGAAAAATGCTCATGTTTTGCCCCCCAACAAGTTGAGGAAAGTCCTTTTCTTCCTAGTTGTTACAGTTTTCCC